CCATATCTTTATTTTTTTTTCTTCGTTTTACTCTTTGTGGCTTTGTAAAAAAAAAAAGCCCTTTTCTCAAAAAATAGACCCTAGCAGCATGAGAAAAATAGGGGAAAGAGTATCAGAAACAGTCTAGACCCTGTCCAGTTCACTTTCTGCAGCAGTGTTTCTCAAGCTTGGGTATTTGAAGAGGTATGGACTTCAACACCCAGAATTCCCCAGTGTGGCTGGGGGAATTCTGGGAGTTGAAGTCCACCCTGCTTCAAATAACCAAATAACACGTGCCTGGCTGAGGAATTCTGGGAGTAGAAGTCCACAAGTCATCAAAGGGCCAGTTGGAAGACCCCTGTCTTAAAGCATCCTGGCTGAGGGATTCTGGGAGTTGAAGTCCAAAAGTCCTAAAAGGGCCCAGTTGGAAGACCCCTGTCTTAAAGCATCCTGGCTGAAGAATTCTGGAAGTTGAAGTCCACAAGTCATGAAAGGGCCCAGTTGGAAGACCCCTGTCTTAAAGCATCCTGGCTGAAGAATTCTGGAAGTTGAAGTCCACAAGTCATGAAAGGGCCAAGTTGGAAGACCCCTGTCTTAAAGCATCCTGGCTGAGGAATTCTGGGAGTTGAAGTCCACAAGTCATGAAAGGGCCAAGTTGGAAGACCCCTGTCTTAAAGCATCCTGGCTGAGGAATTCTGGGAGTTGAAGTCCACAAGTCATGAAAGGGCCAAGTTGGAAGACCCCTGTCTTAAAGCATCTTGGCTGAGGAATTGTGGGAGTTGAAGTCCACGAGTCATCAAAGGGCCAAGTTGGAAGACCCCTGATTTAGAATGAGAGCAAGGATTTTGACAGCTGATGTTTGCCTTTTGTTCTGCTTCCAGGTATCAAGTATTTTTTTTTTCCTCCAGATATGGAGGACAGGTAAATAAAGCCCAAAATTTCCGTTGCTAAGCAAAGCGGTTGTTAATGGAGTTTCACCCTGTTTTACAGCTTTTCTGGCCACAGTTTTAAAAGCCAATCACTGCAGTTTTTTTAAGTTGGTAATACGGTCACAAAACGGAATCACACGATCCCGGGACACTGCAAATATTTGCCAGCTGCCAAAGTGCCTGAATTTTGATCAGGTGACCCACAGGGGATGCTGCAGCCGTCGTAAGTGTGAAAAAACAATCCTAAATCCCTTTTTTCAGTGCTGTTGCAACTGAACGGTCACTACGCAAACGTAATGCTGTTATTTTCTCCAATTCAAAATCAGCGCACAGTTGGAAGGGACCTTGCAGGTCAATTAGTCCAACCCCACGCCCAAGCAAGAGACCCTACTACTACACCATTACAGTGTTTGTAAGTCAAGGACTGCCTGTCCTTGAAATATCTGAGCCATTTTATGACTCTTAACTCTTGGATAGACAAATCGTATTGGATTTGTATAAATCTGTTCCAAGCCCCCAAGGCTTTCCCCATCCTGGGATTTGTATTTTGGTGGGGGGATGTCTTGTCTCTAAATAAACTGTTGTAAGTCAAGGACTACCCATATTTGTTTGCACTTGTTAGGAACGTATCTTTTTTTTTCTCTTGGTTTTTCCAATTCTCTCTCCCTCCCGTCTTCAGTCTGACTTTTCCTGTCCTTTTCATGAGCTCAGAGGCTAACTTTGCGGTAACCTTTTTAATTGTTTCCCATCTGAGGTATTAAAGCTCCCACATTTTCTGGGTTGTTTTTTTTCTTTCCTTTCTTTCCCCACGCGTAATGGCATTTATCGCCTCTTCGCTCAGTCCAGATGGCATCCGCGGCCGTTTTCCGCCGAGCGAATGTCTCTATCTCCTGAACCTCCCAAGACTGTGAGAACATTGGAAAGAGAAGACTCGGCTTGGTCCATTAGCAAATTACCGGAATTTGTTCTGACAGATGTAGCTGGTGGTAATGCCTTACATTAATGCCCACTGCTTTGTTTTTAAGTTCATTTTAGACCCGTTCCTTGGGGGAATTGGCTGTTATTGCAAGGGGGGGTGTCACTCTCCGCTGGAACTGGCCTTTTGGAGAGATAGGATAGGATAGGATAGGATAGGATAGGATAGGATAGGATAGGATAGGATAGGATAGGATAGGGGAGAAGATAGAATGGAATGGAAAAGAACAGAATAAAAAATGGAAAATAGAATAGAATGGAATGTAGAATAAAGAATGGAAAATAGAATAAAAATAGAATAGAATAATAGGATAGGATAGGATAGGAGAGAAGATAGAATGGAATGGAACGGAACAGAACAGAATAGAAAATGAAAAATAGAATAGAATGGAATGGAATGTAGAATAAAAAATGGAAAATAGAATAGAATAGAATAATAGGATAGGATAGGAGGATAGGATAGGATAGGGGAGAAGATAGAATGGAATGGAACAGAACAGAATAGAAAATGGAAAATAGAATAGAATGGAATGTAGAATAAAGAATGGAAAATAGAATAAAAATAGAATAGAATTAGAATAGAATTAGAATAGAATAGAATAGAATAGAATAGAATAGAAAAAAGAATGGAATAGAATATAGAATAAAATGGAAAATAGAATAGAATAGAATGGAATGGAAAATGGAATAGAATGGAATGTAGAATAAAGAATGGAAAATAGAATAGAATAAATAGAATAGAATAAAGAATGGAAAATAGAATAGAGTGGAATAGAATGGAATGGAAAATGGAAAATAGAATGGAATGGAATGTAGAATAAAAAATTGAGAATAGAATAGAATAAATAATTAGAATAGAATAGAATAGAACAGAATAGGACAGAATAGAACCTTGGAGGTCTTCTAGTCCAGCCCCTTGCTCAAGCAGGAGAACCTATACCATTTCAGATAAGTGATTGTCTGGTCTCTTCTTAAAGTCTAGGAAGATGCTTGTCAGAATTGCAAGGGGGAGGGGGCCTTTGAAGCTTGTGAAAGTTAGGAGCAACCAACAAAGACAGAAGCCTCAAGATGGCTAGAGACAGCCTGGTCGAGACAGGGGACGGAGTCAAGCAGGGAACTAGTCTGGAATCCTTACATAGGCACAAGAGTCCAAAGTCCCTTGAATGCCGTTGAACCTTATCTAGACTGGCCCAGATGCAAACGGCCAGTCTGGGAAGATTCCTCTATTATAGGCTTGAGCAACACAATACTCTGTTTCCCCAAAAGTAAGGCCTACACCAACAATAAGCCCTAGCTTGATTTTGGGGGGTGGGCCTAATATAAGCCCTACCCCCCAAAATACGTCCTAGTTTTGGGGTGAGGCACACACTTAAAAATCAAGCTAGGGCGGGGGTGTGGAGCTGCCCTACGCGTCCCGCACCCGCTTCCCTTGCAGCCAGCCCACTTCTTCTGAGGCCTCTTCTGCAGCCAGGCCTGCATTTCTCAGTCACGGGCCTTTCTGGAAGGCCTTGTGCAGCCAACAACTGAGCTATGGGTTCAAACCATAGCTCGGTTCTGCAAGACCTCTGCAGCCGAGCCCCGAGCCATGGATTGAATCCATAGCTCGGTACTCGGCTGCTTACGCCTTCCGCAAAGGCCTAACTGCAAAATGCAGGCCTGAATGCAGCTGCAGAACTTTGGCCCCAGAAGAAGTGGACCGGCTGGGTGGTGCTGGAGGTGAGGGAAGGCCTACCCCCAAAATAAGACCTGGTGCTTCTTTTGGAGGCCAAAAAGGAAAAAAAAAAAAAAAGACCCGGTCTTATTTGAGGGGGAAACACGATAGTTAATTGAACTCTTCAGCCATAGATCTAATGGTTCGCGTCTGAAAAAGGTAGACCAGGAGTAGACAACCTCGGCTCTTTTATGACTCGTGGACTTCAACTCCCAGAATTCCTGAGTCAGCATAGCTGACTCAGGAATTCTGGGAGTTGAAGTCCATGAGTCATAAAAGAGCCGAGGTTGCCTACCCCTGTGGTAGACAGTATTTATGACCGTCGCCATGTCTCGGAGTCCCCTTTTGCGACCGTCCGACGAGCAAAGTCAATGGGGAAGCCAGATTCACTTAAAAGTCACGTCAGTAACAATTGTCTTGCTTAGCCACAGAAATTTTAGTCTCCGTTTTGGCCAGAAGTTGAGGACTACCTGGTATTCTGTTATCCCTCAGGGAGCCTCCAGCTGGAATGGCATTGTATCTGAAGATTGGGCGCTGGCCCCAAGAATGAGAGAGCCCTTCTTCCTTGACTCCACCATCAGCTTCCCAGAAATGGGGGGATACCCACATCAGTCTCGCTACTTCAGGGGTGACTCACCCAGCTGGCTGTTCTGGAACCCGTGACTTTCCTTCCCTCCGGGGCCAGGGCTGACCATCAACAGCCAGAGTCATCCCCTTTGCACTCCGTTGGTCATCTAGCTTGGAAACCTGGCTAGTTCTTCCACCCCCCCACCCCCCCAGTTGTTGGTAGAGTCAGGTCAGTGCCTGGGCTCATCCCCTCTGCTCTCTGTCTGCCTTGCCAGGTGAGAGAGGAAGGGGCAGAGGGCTTGAGACCAGGGTCTGTCAGACATGGCAACTGTGGAGATGCGTGGACTTCCACTCCCAGAATTCCCCCGCCAGCAGCTTTCTAAGTCTGTTGTTCTTATTTTCTTATATTGGTTGGTTGGATGGAAGCAGTTTTGCAATTGACTAATAGCGAATTTGTCAATGCCAATGGTGTTCAAGTGGTGCTCCAGTTGTTTTGGGATTGCACCCAAGGCGCCTATGACTATTGGTACTACCCTTGCTTGCTTTTGCCACAGTCTTTCTATTTCTATTTGTAGGTCTTTGTATTTTGTTATCTTCTCCAGTTCTTTCTCGTCTATTATTATTATTATTATTATTATTATTATTATTATTATTATTATTATTCCCCCACCATCTCTGCCTTTTCTTGCCTTGGGCTCAGACGCAAACTGCCAGCCCTCTTTGCAAAATAAACACGTTTCTTCAGTTCTTTTATTTCAATTTGCTTCCTGTTTATTTTTACAGGTTGGCGCGAGGAAAGCGGGCTGTAAAAATTAAAAATATTGTGCTTTTCCTTTCAGCTCCGACCGGCTGATCGAAGAGACGATAAGGTAAGGCTGGAGATGGCTCTCTTCCAAGGGATCCACCCCATTGCTTCAATCAGCACCTGCCCTGGGGGATCCCGGCATTGTCTATCCCACCCCACCCCCCAGAAATCTGTTGGCTTTAACACCCGAGCATTAAAAGATGCCCCCCCCTCTCCTTTAAGTTTAACATTTAACATTTACAATTTCCAAATTTTAAATGACCACAATTCCCTTCATCCCCGTTCGTCACAAATTCTAATATTCAGAATACACATCTTATCTATTAAATACATCCCATTTCTCACCATCTTACATCAGCTAGTTAATAATACAGTATAACATTCTTATTTTCTATTAATGTCCAAGTGTCTTAAATTTGGTAACCAAACTTTTCTCTTATTTCAACGTTAAATGCTTCCCCTCTTTTTCTCTTGATGTCTACTATCTCATATATAAGCTAGTCATTTTTATTATAACAGCTCAGTAAAAACATATTTATTACATTTATCAGTGGATTTTTAGCTCGTAGATGGGAAACTGAAAAATTGGGAAAAACTCATTAGGACATTGATTGTCTAGAGAGATTGAATGTTAAAATAACCAGGATATGTATCAACTAAAAATGATTGATAAAGGTAAGAAAGTTATTTTTATTTAATTGATATGATAAGAATTGCATTAGTTTAAACATGAGACAGTAAATACTAAGGGGGGGGGGGAAGAGAGGAAATACTTAATGTAATAGTTTGAGACTTGTACTAAAGCAGTGGTTCTCAACCTGTGGGTCGGGACCCCATTTGGGGTCGAACGACCATTTCACGGGGGTCGCCAAACAACGCAGTCCGCCATTTTTTCCCCCCTTTCCTTAGCTGTGTTACTCCCTTTTATTCTATTGGCTTTTGAAAGCCAATAGAATAGACTCTCTTGAATAGAGTCTAATTCTATTGGCTTTCAAAAGCCAATAGGAATTGTCCATGCTGTCTCTGCCCTGCTGAGCCCGCCAAAAGTCCCATTCTGCAAACGGTGCTGCACCAGTTGAGTAGTCCTCAACTTACGACCGGTTGAGTAGTCCTCGACTTACGACCGGTTGGGGGTCATGGCATTAAAAAGGTTGAGAACCACTGTACTAAAGATACTTGTATGTTATTGAATTATTGATTAACTCAGCCGCCACGTTGCTTTTTAAATAGTTAAATGTAAAATTAGAAAATCAATTAATTTTTTTTTTAAAAAAACCAAATAAATAAAAGACACACACACCCTTTCTCCTGCCTCTTCAAATTTCCCAGTTCCCAAAAGGCCTTCTGAAAGAATTAACCCCTTGAAGAGGTAGTCCTTGAATTAATAACGCTTCGTTTAATGACGGTTCAAAGTTACGACACCTTGAAAAAAGTGACTTAGGACCGGTTCTCACTTAACAGCTGTCGCATCATCCCCAGGGTCACGTGATCAAAATTCAGATGCTCGGCAACTGGCATGTACTTATGACTGTTGCAGTGTCCCAGGGTCAGGCGATCCCTTTTTGCCACCATCCAACCAGCAAACTCAAGGGAGAAACTGGATTCACGGAACAACCATGTGACTCACTTAACAACCACAGGGATTCACTTAACAACGGCAGCAAGCACGGTCGTAAAACGGGGCCCGAGTCACTGAACAAATCTCTCGCTGAGCCACAGAAACGTTGGGCTCGGTTGCCGTCGTAAGTTGAGGACTCCCCTGTGATCAAAAAATCTGAGCGATTCCTAAACATCAGGTTAAAAAAAGGTCAAGGATTTTATTCTGCTACTCGTTGCCGACTCTAGGGGGCGCTGCTGATCTCTGTTTCTTGACCGAGGGGAGACGGTATCGTCCGAAGACATTTTACTCGGCCTTGTGGCCAGCATGGCTAAACGCCAAAGGCGCACGGAATGCTGTTATCTTCCCACCAAAGGGGTACCTATTGATCTACTCGCACTTGCACGCTTTCGAACTGCTGGATGGGCAGGAGCTGCAGCCAGGAGCACAAGATCACCCCGTCTTGCGGTGCCCTGGTCTCAAACGCTCACTGTCGGTTTTCCATCCAGGAAGCTCCTCGTCTTTAACCACTGAGCCACTACATTATCCCAGCAACAGGCTTAAACCTAAACTAAACCAACGGTGATAAGTCAAGGACTACAACAACAACAACAACAACAATAATAATAATAATAGGGATTTCCTGGTTGTGTCTCATCCATGCACCAACCAGACCTGCATATTACATAGATTTTGACATAGGCTAATGTTTGCCTAGCTCATGGGTAGGCAACCTTGGCTCTTTTATGACTTGTGGACTTCAACTCCCAGAATTCCTGAGCCAGCATGGCTCAGCTTGGAAACCTCTCCCTTTCCCCTCAGCATGGCTGGCTCAGGAATTCTGGGAGTTGAAGTCCCTGAGTCATGAAGGGGGCCATAGTTCCCCCATGCTGGCTCAGGAATTCTGGGAGTTAAAAGTCCACGAGTCATGAAGGGGGCCATAGTTCCCCCATGCCGCTGAGGAATTCTGGGAGTTGAGGTCCACAAGTCATGAAATAGTTCCCCCATGCCGCTCAGGAATTCTGGGAGTTGAGGTCCACAAGTCATGAAGGGGGCCATAGTTCCCCCATGCCGGCTCAGGAATTCTGGGAGTTGAAGTCCACCAGTCCCCTGCCTTTTGGAGCTTTATAGATTGGGGGGGGGGTGAGGGTAGAAAAGGTACCCCAGGAACTTTGTCTTTCATTGTTTCTCCTTTGGTCGTCTCGATGTAAAAAAAGGATGTTGAGATTCTCTAGAGTACAGAGAAGAACAACAAAGATGATCAGGGAACTGGAGACTAAAACATATAAGGAACGGCTGCTGGAATTGGGTCTGTCTAGTTTAATGAAGAGAAGGATGAGGGGGGACAGGATAGCAGCCTTCCAGTATCTCAGGGGCTGCCCCAAAGAAGAGGGAGTCAAGCTGTTCTCCAAGGTGCCTGAAGGCAGGACAAGAAGCAACGGATGGAAACTCATCAAGGAGAGAAGCAATCTAGAACTAAGGAGAAACTTCCTGACAGTGAGAACAATTAACCAGTGGAACAACCTGCCTCCAGAAGCGGTGAATGCTCCAACACTGGAAGTTTTTAAGAAGAGACTGGACAGCCATTTGTCTGGAGAGGATGGGTTTTGTGGTGGGGCCCATTTGGGATGTCTCTGTTGGGTTCCTGAATGTACCGATGATTGGAAATTGGAGGTTTTACAAGTTGCCCTTTTGGAAAGCAGCCCGTTCAAAACTCTTTCCTTAATGGGGTCTGCTGGGCTGATTTTTTTTTTCCTTTCCTCTCCTCCTCCAGCATCATCTGGCAGCGTCTTGTTTTCCCCTGGAAAAAGGGAAGCGATGGCGTCTTTCGGAGAGCGAGAGAGACAATCTAAAATGTATTTAACATTAGCACTTGGCTCGCTGCCTCCGAGCCACGCGGCTGCAGGCTGCAGGCAGCGGCCATGGATCAATAGGGACTTACCACCCCAATTGAGGCCAGAATTTCCCTAGCTAAGCAAGGCAGTTGTTTGGAGATTTCTGCCCCATAATAACAAATAATAATAAGAACAACAACAAAACAACAATGGTAATAGTAATAAAAAAGTTGGAAGGGACCTTGGAGGTCATATAATAATAATAGTAATAATAATAACAATAACAACAACAGAATAGAGGCATGGGAAGACAAAGCACTACATGGCCAATACATTTAAAAAATAGCTGGGAAAGCAGATAATAATAAAACCTGGCAATGGCTAAGAGCAGGAAAATTGAAGAAAGAGACCGACTAATTCTGGCTGCACAAGACCAAGCCTTAATTCTGGCTGCACAAGACCAAGCCTTAAGGACAAATGCATACAAAGTCAAAATTGAGAAGACAGCAACAGACAGTAAGTGCCGCCTAAAAGAAGCTGAAGAAACAGTGGACCACCTGGTAAGCTGCTGCAAGAAGATTGCACAGACTGATTACAAGCAGCGGCATGACAAAGTAGCAACAATGGTGCATTGGAAGATCTGCAAAAAATATCATTTGCCTGTAAGCAAAAACTGGTGGGATCATAAAATAGAGAAAGTCATAGAAAATGATAAAATTAAGCTGCTCTGGGACTTCAGAATTCAAATAGACAAGCACCTGCAATGTAACACCCCAGACTTAACAATTGTCGATAGAAAAGACAAAAAAGTCTGGATAGTGGACGTGGCAGTGCCTAGAGATAGCAGAATAGAAGAGAAAGAACTGGAGAACAGAACAAAATACAAAGACCTACAAATAGAAATAGAAAGACTGTGGCAAAAGCAAGCAAGGGTAGTACCAATAGTCATAGGCTCCTTGGTGCAATCCCAAAACAACTGGAGCACCACTTGAACACCATCGGCATTGACAAATTCGCTATTAGTCAATTGCAAAAGGTGGCCTTATTAGGAACTGCTTCCATCCTGCGACGATATCTGTAATACCATCAAACATCCACATCTGCCTATCCCAGGTCCTGGGTAAGGACTCGATGGGTAGACAAAATGCCAAATCCAGTCTGAACATCCGGCTGACTGTGCGATGATCCATAATAATAATAATAATAATGGAAGGAACCTTGGAGGTCATCAAGTCCAACCCCCTGCTCAGGCAGGAAACCCTATATACCATTTCAGACAAATGGCTGTCCATCTAACCCAACCCCCTGCTCAGGCAGGAAACCCTATCCCGTTTTAGACAATCTCTTCTTAAAAACTTCCAGGGTTGGAGCATTCACAACTTCTGGAGGCAGGTGGTTCCACTGGTTAATTAATTTTTCCACCTTTCTTGTCATGGCTGTTAAGGGAATCATTGCCGTTGTTAGGAACACGGTCGTTAAGCGAATCCGACTTCTTCCATTGACTTTGCCAATCAGAAGTTGACAAAAGAGGATCCTGTGATTCCCCGGGACACGACAACCGTCATAAGTACATGCCAGTTGCAGGGCGTTTGAATTTTGATCAGGTGACCCACGAGGGATACTGCAAGGGCCGTCAGTGCGAAAAATGGTCCTAAGTCACTTTTTCCAGTGCCGTTGTAACGTTGAACAGTCACTAAACGGAACATTATAATTCGAGGACTAAAGACTGCTCTCCATAACGAACCGGGGCTGAGATTCCAGTTTTCAGGAGCGGAGAGCCCCCCCCCTTCCCCATAAGCCACAGCCGTGGCAGTTTATTCCCGGCGTTCCCCAAGATGTCACTCCACAGGATGAGACCCCACGTACCTTTGTGGGGATGGAAGGGGATCTGATCAGATTTGCAGGCCACACCGCGTTGCGGGGGAATTGCTCCCATTTTAGATGGTTAGACTCGAGATCCGGAAGGACCTCGGCAAACTTGAACCCAGGGCCCGACCGAACAAGTTGCAATTGCCAAGGGGATGCTGTGTGGGGGGGAAAATGGTCCTAAGTCGCCTTGCTTTCAGGGCTGTGATCATTTCGGTCACTAAATGAACGGTTGTAAGTCGAGGACTAACTGTATTTGCACATATAGCCACAAATACGCCCTTTGCCTGCCGGCTCCCATCCAGTCTGGTGCTCAGCGCACCGGGAGGATCATGTGAAAGCCACGCTCTTCGCTCCCGCTGGGGGCTCTGGACGGCTTTCGAAGGGACAGGATTGTGTGAAGGAGCAAATGGCTTCTTTGCCTTGCTTGCTAGGCAAGAGTTGGCCCGCACTGCAGGGGGCTGCAAGAGTGTTTTTATTATATGTATTTGCTTGCTTTTTGTCCTGCCTTTCTGACTTTATAAGCAGAATGGAATGGAATGGAATGGAATAATAGAATAGAATAGAATAGAATAGAATAGAATAGAATAGAATAGAATAGAATAGAATAGAATAGAATAGAATAGAATTAGAGTAGAATAGAGTAGAATAGAATAGAATAGAATAGAATAGAATAGAATAGAATAGAATAGAATAGAATAGGAAAAAATATAGAATAGAATAGAATGGAGTAGAGTGGAATAGAATAGAATAGAATATAGAATAGAATAGAAAAAAAATAGAATGGAATGGAATAGAATAGAATAATGAATGGAATGGAATAGAAATAGAATAGAATAGAATATTGAATGGAATGAAAGAATAGAATAGAATTACAGAATAGAATTAATAGAATAGAATGAAATAGAATACAATAAGGAAAAAGTATAGTATAGAATACAATGGAGTGGAGTAGAATAGAATATAGAATAGAATAGAAAAAAGAATAGAATGGAATGGAATAGAATAGAATAAAATAATGAATGGAATAGAAATAGAATAGAATAGAATAGAATAGGGAAAAATATAGAATAGAATAGAATAGAATAGAATAGAATAGAATAGAATAGAATAGAATAGAATAGAATAGAATGGAGTAGAGTGGAATAGAATAGAATAGAATATAGAATAGAATGGAAAAAATAGAATGGAATGGAATAGAATAGAATAATGAATGGAATAGAAATAGAATAGAATAGAATATTGAATGGAATGAAAGAATAGAATAGAATTACGGAATAGAATTAATAGAATAGAATAGAATGAAATAGAATACAGTAAGGAAAAAGTATAGTATAGAATAGAATGGAGTGGAGTAGAATAGAATATAGAATAGAATAGAAAAAAGAATAGAATGGAATGGAATAGAATAGAATAAAATAATGAATGGAATAGAAATAGAATAGAATAGAATAGAATAGAATAGAATAGAATAGAATAGAATAGAATAGGAAGGGACCTTGGAGGTCATCTAGTCCAACCCCTGCTCAGGCAGGAAACCCTATACCATTTCAGACAAATGGTTGACCAATCTCTTCTTATGAAACTCAAGGTGGTGAACAGACTTAATACTCCTTTCTATTTTCCCCATAACAACAACCCTATGAGGTGGGTTGGGCTGAGAGAGAGGGACTGGCCCACAGTCACCCAGCTGACTTTCGTGCCTAAGGCGGGACTAGAACTCTCCATCTCCTGGTGATTGGCCCAAAGTTCCCCAGCTGGCTTTTATGACTAAGGCGGGACTACAATTCACCGTCTCCTGGTGATTGGCCCAAAGTCACCCAGCTGGCTTTCATATTTAAGGCGGGACTAGAACTCACCGTCTCCTGGTGATTGGCCCAAAGTCACCCAGCTGGCTTTCATATTTAAGGCGGGACTAGAACTCACCGTCTCCTGGTGATTGGCCCAAAGTCACCCAGCTGGCTTTTGTGCCTAAGGCGGGACTAGAACTCACCCTCTCCTGGTGATTGGCCTAAAGGCACCCAGCTGGCTTTCATATTTAAGGCGGGACTAGAACTCACCGTCTCCTAGTGATTGGCCCAAAGTCACCCAGCTGGCTTTCATATTTAAGGCGGGACTAGAACTCACCGTCTCCTGGTGATTGGCCCAAAGTCACCCAGTTGGCTTTTGTACCTAAGGCGGGACTAGAACTCGCCCCCATCTGATGATTGGCCCAAAATTTGGAGACCCCTGCTATAAGGCGTTGAAAAGCCACAGCCGAAGCTATGAAGAGGTCGGTGTATTGGGTCCGTGTGAAAAAGAGACGCTTGGCTGGTCAATGACTCCCTTTTTTTTTTTTTCCTCGTAGGAACCAAAGCAGAGTAGAGTAGAGTCCAAATTACTCACCGGTTCCTCTCCCTCCATTACGGCCATTAAAGTTTTCCCAGCACCGAAGAACTATTTGCATCTCTGCCCATCTCTTAAGTGGCTTCGGTTTTCCTTCTCCGGCCACGTCATTTCGCCTTTTCAAGCAGCTTTTCTCTTTCTGCCACTCCCAGGGGCATCCCTCCTGGGGATGCTTTCTCACTGCTTCCTGGACACACCCCAATTCTCCAAGGAGGATCCCCTGAGTAGGGATGGGTCGGCCCCGAATCCCAGGTGGGGTTGCCTAGGAAACGTGCACTCCTCCCCTGCAACGCAAAGCCTCACGTTGGCTTTTCTGGACCTTTTGTTGATCTCATGGATCTGCCCATCTCGAGAGGCCAACGTTTTATGTATTAAGATACCTCAGGGCCTTCCCCCCCCCCTAAACTACAGATCCCAGGATGCCATGGGAGAAGCCTTGGGGGCCTGGAACATATTTGCACAAATCAAATATTATTTGTCTATCAAAGCGGAAGAGCCAGTTATTTCAAGTACCGGTAATCCTCAACTTACAAGAGTTTGGTTCGTGACTGTCAAAGCTACAACGGCGCTGAAAAAAAAATGCCTAAGGGCCCCTTTTCACACTTACGACCGTCGCAACGTCCCCATGGTCACGTGATTCAAATTCAGACACTTGGCAACTGACTCGTATTTATGACGGTTGCACTGTCCTGGGCTCACGTGATCCCCTTTTGCAAACTTCTGACAAATCCAGTGGGGAAGCCAGACTCACTTCACAACCGTGTGACTAAACTGTGGCGATTCACTTAACAACTGTGGCAAGGAAAGTTGTAACATAGGGCAAAACTCAATCACAAATGCCTCGCTTAGAAACAGAAGTTTGGGGCTCGGTTGTGGTCGTACGTTGAGGATTACCTGGAGTGAGTTACCTTGAGTACCAAGTGCCTAATCTCTTTTTTGCCCTTTCTCTCATTCACCTCAGCATTACCTTGGGTACCAAGTGCCTAACCTCTTTTTTGCCCTTTCTCTCATTCCTCTCCACCTCAGTATTACCTTGGGTACCAAGTGCCTAATCTCTTTTTTGCCCTTTCTCTCATTCACCTCAGCATTACCTTGGGTACCAAGTGCCTAACCTCTTTTTTGCCCTTTCTCTCATTCCTCTCCACCTCAGCATTACCTTGGGTACCAAGTGCCTATTCTCTTTTTTACCCTTTCTCTGGTTCCTCTCCACCTCAGCATTACCTTGGGTACCAAGTGCCTATTCTCTTTTTTGCCCTTTCTCTGGTTCCTCTTCACCTCAGCATTACCTTGGGTACCAAGTGCCTAACCTCTTTTTTGCCCTTTCTCTGGTTCCTCTCCCCCTCAGCATTGCCATGGCCACGAAAGAAAACATGACTTCGCAGCGAGGAATGATGAAATCCATACAGAGCAAGATGAACACCTTGGCCAGTATCCTTTCTCCTGCTGCTGCTGCTGCTGCTTTTCACCTTCCGGGCACCGAACGTTAACTAGAATCAGAGAGTTGGAAAGGAGCCTAGAGGTCATCCAGCCCAACCCCCTGCTGCATGCAGGATCCACTAGAGCAAGGCTTCCCAACTGTAGCAACTTTAAGAGATGTGAGATCAGGGAGGCGCCGAAGGGAGCCAACTTTATGTGATGTGGCCTGGAAGGATCCACCCAGAGTTAGTCGAAAGGTGGGCAGCTATATAAATGTTCTGAATACAATAAATATGTGAAGAGGGGGAGGAAATGGAGATTCACAAAGGATGTGGACAGGCAGGAGATGAGAACAGAGCCAGGATGGAAGGGAAACCCTGGCTTAAGGGGCAGAGCGCTTCCCTTTGGGGGCAGCAATTGCTTCCCTTTCTTTCTTTCTTTCTTTCTTTCTTTCTTTCTTTCTTTCTTTCTTTCTCTCTTCCATCCTTCCTTCACTTTTTCCTTCCTTCCTTCCTTCCTTCCTTCCTTCCTTCTCTTTTTCATTTTCTCTCCTTCCTTCCTTCTCTTTTTCACTTTCTCTCCTTTCTTTCCTTTCTTCTTTCCTTCCTTCCCTTTTTCACTTTCTCTCCTTCTCTTTTTCATTTTCCCTTCCTTCCTTCCTTCCTTTTTCATTTTCTCTCCTTCCTTCTCTTTTTCATTTTCTCTCCTTTCCTTTCCTCCTTCCTTCCTTCTCTTTTTCACTTTCTCTCCTTCCTTCCTTCCTTTTTCACTTTCTCTCCTTCCTTCCTTCTCTTTTTCATTTTCTCTCCTTTCTTTTCCTCCTTCCTTCCTTCTCTTTTTCACTTTCCCTCCATTCTTCCTTCTTTCCTTCCTTCCTTCCTTCCTTCCTTCCCTTTTTCACTTTCTCTCCTTCCTTCCTTCCTTCCTTCCTTCCTTCTCTTTTTCATTTTCTCTCCTTTCTTTCCTTCCTTCCTTCCTTCTCTTTTTCATTTTCTCTCCTTTCTTTCCTTCCTTCTTTCCGTCCTCCCCTTTTTTACTTTCTCTCTTTCCTTCTCTTCCCTTTCTCTTTCTTTTCTTTCTCCTTGCTTTCCTTCTCTTTCTTTCCCTACCAAAACCTAGGGACATTTAAAAAAAAAAAAATCACAGCCACTACAAAAACAGGCCCAACCTCCCACCCACCCACCCAAAAAAACCTCTAAAATGCCAACAGAGAAAAACAAAGACCCGGGGCCACTCTGCCATCTGCCTTCTCAAAAGAGGGGGGGGGATAACCCACCAGTGGATGGGGAGGGTGGGTGGGTGGCCAGCCCCCTTCCTTGCCGCCCTTAACTCGGCTGCCCCACCCCAGACCGTTTCCCAGCGGTGAACAGCCTCATCCAGCGGATCAACCTGCGCAAGCGACGGGACACCCTCATCCTGGGGGGTGTGATCGGCATCTGCACCATCCTCCTGCTGCTGTACGCTTTCCATTGATGGAGGACGCCGCGCACAGAGAGACTTCTGGGACCATGATCTGCCCCTGCGAAGGGGCGGGCAGACTGCGGCGGGACCCCCCCCCCTTCAATCTGGGGACGTGGAGACCAAGGGACCGTGGCAGGTGGACTCTCTCTTTCCTTCCTCCACAGCTGGCCACGGGTCCCGAAGGTGACAACCGGTTCGTCGCTCGTCCTGGTCTCTTACACCGAGGACACGGCTCCCTTCTGCCCATTAAATATGTTTTCTGCCTTTTCTACCATTTCGCTCTCGTCTTAAGGCGAGGCGGACCCGGCCCACCTCCAGCCCCCCGCCCCAATTCAGCTGTCACGTTTACCTTCCAAAGGAGAACCTTTACTTCTCCTTGTTTCCAACCTGTCTGCCCGAGAAAACCCCTCTCGTCAATTTAACACAACTTCGCCCTGACTTGGCGACTTAAAAACTTTGGCCCGGCCCGGTTGGAGAGCCGAGATCCATGGAGAGAAATTCTTCACCAGACATTTTTATTTTATTTTATGTTTTTTTTTGAGGAAGGTGATCCTCAAAGGCTGGGTCGGTAAGTATCCCGCCGTTTTGGAGAAGACCACTTCCTTCTGATCTCTTTCCCGCCATTCGAGAACGGCCGAAACACAACCGGTTCACCAAGGCCGAGAAAAATGTCCCAAAACAAGAGATCGGGTCTTTCCTTTCAACGTGGAGAACATTTGTGAGACGGACCCTCGGTGGAGACTTTTCACCAAACTGGAAACGCGGTTGATGTTTTACAGATCCCAGTGGAAAACAAGGGAGCGCCTTCCTCATCTCGAGAGCGCCCCAAACAGTGAAAGGGATTAAAAGAGAGCGAGTGGCATTTGGGCATCCGAATCGGTGGACCGTTTTAGCAGGGGTAATCTTAGCCGAAAAAGTTTCCCGCAAGTCCTCGCCTTGTTTGTCCGACTTCGGTTTGGTTCCCGTCCTAACAAAGACCCCGGATGTCCCCCACCCACCCTTGCTTCGAAACACAAATAAAATGTTAAAAAAGAGATGTCTATTACATACTCTTGGAGAGAAAGCAAGAGATTTGAGCTTTTTTTATCGGCAACCCAAGCCAGCCCAAGACAACAATGCATTTATTAGCTTAGCCAGTGGGGATGATGGGGTTCGGAGTCCCAGTGGATTCAGGGGTGGGAAGAGTGACTTAGCTCTGATTCCTGGGAACCCTGGTTCCCACCTCCATTCCCACATGGTAACATGAAACCAGGGTGGGCAATTACGGTGCTTTATAATCTTTGGACTTCAACTCCCAGAATTCCTGAGCCAGCCATATTGCTGGCTCAGGAATTCTGAGAGTTATAGTCCACAGGTCAAGGGGCCCTGCATTAAATACTAGCTTACGATGGTTTTGTTCAAATAGATTCCATAAACTAGGCACTATAGCACAACTTAAATTAATAAACTATTCGTTCTCTTTTGGGTTCGCAAAAAGTGTCTAATCCTGTTAACGCTACGAATCAAAGGAAGAAAACCCCAACAAGATAGATTTTTTTTTATTTTTGGCTGCAAGAGATTGCTTGAGGTTAGAGAATACTTCCTTTCGCAAATGAACCGTTTATTGGCCCTTCCAGAATAAGGAGCAAAGCAAAAGTTTCAGAGGTGAATTTGAATTTGTTTTAAGAGCTCTCGAGTTAAGAAACCGCTGCTGGAAGGTTTTTTATTATTATTATTCTGGGTTTTTTTTTAAATTTGTCTTTTTTTTTCCGCGTTCTGCTGAGATAGGAAGAGGGTTATCTGATTAATAAATTACTAAGAAAATAAACAAGACTTGGTTGCATTATCTCGCTAACAAAAATGAAAGGGGAGAAAAAAAGCACTCTCTCTCTGAATAAAACGTATTTCTTTAATCTTAGGATTCTTGTTTTTTTATTGGTTTCGCCTTCTGGGTTTTGATGAAAAGGTGTCAAAATGATTTGAGACGCGCAATCGGGCTGAGTTTGCCCAGCACATGAAACTAAACTACGATTGATTTGATGGGTCTGTAGCAGGGGGTCCCCAACCCCTGGTCCGTGGACTGATACTGGGCCACGGTATGCCAGCAACCGGTCCGCACAAACAAGCAAAGCCCCATCCGTGGGATGCAGGCAGCACACAAAACACACCCCCTCCGGTCCGTGGCAAAACCTTTATCCACGGAAGCAGTGATCCCTGGTGCCCAAAAGGAACACTATAGCAGTATTAACTATATGCTCTATAATGTAGCAGTCTCTTTAGGGGTTACAATCCTATAATCCCTAAAAAATACTATAGCAGTATTTCAGCATTGGAGGGGCTGCCTCAAAGAAGAGGGGGGGGTCCACCTCTTCTCCAAAGCACCAGAAGGCAGAACAAGAAGCAGCAACGGGAGGAAACCGATCAAGGAGAGAATTACGGAGAAATTTCCTGATGGTGGAAACAATGAACCAGTGGAACAGCTTGCCACCAGATGTTGCAGGTGTCCCATCAGTGGAGGTTTTCGAGAAGAGACTGGACAAGCATCTTGTTGGAAATGGTGTAGGGTCTCCTGCTTGAGCAGGGGGTTGGACTAGAAGACCTCCGAGGTCCCTTCCATTTTGTTATTGTTATCCATGCTTGAAGACCCCCACTGGATCCCCTTCCAGGTGTTTTGAGGCACAACCCCTAAGGCAGGGGTCCCCAACCCCCCGGTCCATGGATCAGTAGAATGGAATGGAATGGAATAGAATAGAATAGAATTACAGAGCAGAATAGAATATAAATCAGAAAAGAATTACAAATAGAATAGAGTAAAAAGAACAATGGAATAATAGAATGGAACAGAGCAGAACAGAATAACAGAATAGAATAGAATAGAATAGAATAGTAGAACAGAATAGAATGGAATGGAATGGAATTGAATAGAAGAATAGAATAAGAATAGAATGGAATGGAATGGAATGGAACAGAATAGAACAGAATAGAATTTAGAATAGAATTTAGAATAGAATGGAACGGAATGGAATGGAATAGAATGGAACAGAATAGAATAAATAGAATATAGAATAGAATAAAATATAGAATAGAATAGAATATAGATAGAATAAATAGAATAGAATAGAATAGAATCTTTATTAAGAATAGAACAGAATGGAATGGAATGGAATAGAATAGAATAGAATAGAATAGAATAGAATAGAATAGAATAGAATAGAACAGTACCGTGCCACGGCATGCTAGCAACTGGGCAGCACAAACAAGCAAAGCCCCATCCGTGGGATGCAGGCAGCACACAAAACCATGCCCCCTCCAGTCCGTGGAAAAACCTCTCTTTACGGAACCGGTGCCCAAAAGGTTGGGGGCCTCTGGACTAGATGACCTCCGAGGTCCTTTCCAGCTCTGTTCTGATTGAAGAAACAATAGATGGAAACTCATCAAGGAGAGAAGCAACTTGGAATTAGGGAGAAATGTCCTAACAGTGAGGACAATTAACCAGTGGAACGGCTTGCCACCAGAAGTTGTGGGTGCTCCACCACTGGAGGTTTTTAAGAAGAGACTGCACAGTGACTTGTCTGGAAAGGTCTAGGGTCTCCTGCTTGAGCAGGGGGTTGGACTAGAAGACCTCCAAGGTCCCTTCCAGCTCTGTTCTGATTGATTGATTGAATGATTGATTGATTGACTGATTGATTGAAATGGTCTAGGGTCGCCTGCTTGAGCAGGAGGTTGGACTAGAAGACCTCCAAGGTCCCTTCCAGCTCTATATTCTGATTGATTGATTGATTGTAACTTTCCCAGTGTGTGTGTGTGTGTGTGTGTGTGTGTGTGTGTCTTCCCTTCAATTTGGACACCCGCCCATCCCTTTCCCAGCTTCTTCTGCAAAACTAAATCAATTAAAAAAGGCAGCGGTCGAGTATTAAAAGGAATGGATCTGCTTTCACACTTCGGGCAGAAAAACTCATCCGGATTGTGTCCTTCTTGGGATTGTTTTGGCTGCCCGGCTTTCTGATCGGAGTCAATTATTCATGATCAGCCGTTAGGGTGGTGGATATTGATTAATAATTGAGCAGGCCAAAGTACTCGGCGCTCCCAAAAAATCCGGTCAGGTCTCCTCTTTTGACAGTCCAAATCTCATGCCTTGCCTTGGGTGGCCAGGAAAATCTGCCCCAGTTCCCCCCCCCCTTTTTTTTTTCTTCCTCCATGGTGCTCTGGCTATCTTTGTCCCACAGCTGTGTGGGGGATGTCCAGATGACCAGGAAGATCCGTTAGCCTGGACTAGACCTGGGAATTTTAATTTGGCCCTTTGGCTGTCCCTATCCAGCCTGGGTGAGGTCAATCAACTGTGAAAGGGATCTTGGAGTCTTAGTGGACAACTCAATTCAATACGAGCCAGCAAGTGTGTGGCAGCAGCCAAAACAGCTAATGCAATCCTAAATTGCATTAACAGAAGGAGTCAATCAAGATTGCGTGAGGTACTAGTACCTCAAGGGGAAAACAACTGAAGAAGCTTGGGAAATTTTGAAAAATGAGAAATAAAAGCCCAGTCTAGCACAATCCCAACAAAGAGGAAAAAGAACAGCTCTCAAAAGAAACCAGCATGGCTGCATAAAGAACTCTCTGATCAGTTGAAAGATAAAAAGGACAAGTGTAGAAAGTGGAAAGAGGGGCACATAACTAAGTCAGAATATCAGCAAATAGCCCGAGCCTCTAAAGATGAAGTGAGGAAAGCCAAGGTTCAAAATGAACTAAGGCTTGCGATCGAAGTTAAAAATAACAAAAAAAAAGCTTCTTTCAACATGTAAAAAACAAGAAAAAAGTGAAGGAAACGATTGGTCCATTAGTGGGGGAAAGTGGCAAGAAGGTGACAAGCAACAGAGAGAAAGCAGAACTATTTAACTCGTTTTTTGCATCTGTCTTTACACAAAGGGAAAAAACAGACCAACCTACCAAGAATAGTGCCATAAAAACCAAAATAGAAATACAAGTTAAGATAGGCAAGAAAATGGTAAGTGAGCACCTGTCCAGCCTAGACGAGTTCAAATCACCAGGACCAGATGGATTACACCCCTGGGTTCTCAAGGAACTGACAGATGTGATCTCAGAACCATTGAACTATATTTTTCAAAGATCCTGGAGCACTGGGGAACTACCAGAGGACTGGAAAAGAGCTGATGTAGTTCCCATCTTCAAAAAAAGGGGGAAAAATGGACCCAGGAAATTACAGACCTGTCAGCCTGAAAGAGTGCAGAGAAGAGTAACAAAAATGATTAGGGGACTGGAGGCCAAAGCATATAAGGAAAGGCTGCTGGAATTGGGTATGTGTAGTTTAATGAAGAGAAGGACGAGGGGGGACATGATAGTAGCGTTCCAGTATCTCAGGGGCTGCTCCAAAGAAGAGGGAATCAAGCTATTCTCCAAAGCACCTGAAGGCAGGACAAGAAGCAACGGGTGGAAACTAATCAAGGAGTGGAGCAACCTGGAACTAAGGAGAAACTTCCTGACAGTGAGAACAATTAACCAGTGGAACCACCTGTCTCCAGAAGTGGTGAATGCTCCAACAATGGAAGTTTTTAAGAAGAGACTGGACAGCCATTTGTCTGAAAATGGTATAGGGTTTCCTGCCTGAGCATGGGGTTGGACTAGATGACCTCCAAGGTCCCTTCCAACTATGATGATGATGATGTCCATCTTTGCTAATCCAGGTCAACCTTCTTTCTCTTTGCAAGCTATGCAAATTCGGCCTCCTCACCCTGGAAGTCAGTGGTCAAGCTACAGATCCAAATCTGACTTTTGAAATCGTTTTGTATTCCTCTTGCTGCATTCAGACATACCCAGATGTGCAAGATAACCCATCACCTTGAAGCAAAGGGCACAAACTTAGCGAGTGTGCCTCAGGTGGGTTGCTCAGCGTGTGCAATGTACCCTCATCAAAATGCCTCATCGAAGTTAATTCTGGTCAATTCCGTGTTATGAAAACATAGCCCTTGTTTAGACTGCACACCCTCTTTAGTGTGGTGCATGTATTTATATAGATGGTGGGAGAAGGTGTGAAAAGCACTTTAAATATTCCAAATTGTGAACAACCTTCAAACGTCACCACAATACCAAAAAGATGTTGAGACTCTGGAAAGAGTGCAGAGAAGAGCAACAAAGATGATTAGGGAGCTAAAACATACTAAGGACGTTGCTGGAATTGGGTATGTCCAGTTTAATGAAGAGAAGGTCCAGGGGGGACATGATAGCAAGTCTTCCAGTATCTCAGGGGCTGCCCCAAAGAAGAGGGAGTCAAGCTATTCTCCAAAGCACCTGAACAAGAAGCAACGGATGGAAACTCATCAAGGAGAGAAGCAACCTGGAACTAAGGAGAAGTTTCCTAACGGTGAGAACAATAATAATAATAATGTTGGAAGGGACCTTGGAGGTCATCTAGTCCAACCCCCTGCTCAGGCAGGAAACCCTATATCATTTCAGACAAATGGCTGTCCAGCCTCTTCTTAAAAACTTCCAGTGTTGGAGCATTCACCGCTTCTGGAGGCAGGTTGTTCCACTGGTTAATTGTTCTCGCTGTCAGGAAGTTTCTCCATAGTTCCAGGTTGCTTCTCCCCTCGATTAGTTTCCATCTATTGCTTCTTGTCCTGCCTTCATGTGCTCTGGAGAATAACTTGACTCCCTCTTCTTTGGGGCAGCCCCTGAGATACTGGAAGAACTGCTATCCTGTCCCCCCTTGTCCTTCTCTTCATTAAATTAGACATACCCAATTCCAGCCACCGTTCCTTATATGCTTTAGCCTCCAGTCCCCTGATCCTCTTTGCTGCTCTTCTCTGCACTCTTTCCAGAGTCTCAACATCTTTTTTACATCGTGGTGACCAAAACTGGATGCAGTATTCCAAATATGGCCTGTGGAACGACTAGATTACCTGG